GCGGCACCGGGTGGCTCGGCCCCTCCGAGGCAGCCGGCCCCAACCCCTGCGCGACAGCCTGCCCGTCCTGGGAAGGATTTGGCCGGGAGAAGCCGCGCACCTGAGCTCCGCAAGAGCAGCTGAGGCCCTACCAGGGCCTCTGGCCGCGGGGTGGTGTGGTGGAGTGCTGGGGCTGACTGGGAAGGGGCTCCCGGGGCGGGGAGGGGATGAGATCTCGAATAATGGAATCTGAGAAATACAAATCTTGGGGCACAGTGTTCTCGAGCGCGGCTGTCTAGGATTTCTGCCCCTGCAGTAGGTGTGCGTCCCCATCGGTATGTCTGGCAGCCACGCGCTTTCTGCAGTCCCAGGGCGCAGACACCAGCATGCCCAGGGATGTCGCACAGCTGCTTTTCTCCAAATAGCACCCCTTGTTCTGTCTGCAGGTTTTGTCTGCATAGAAGGAAAAAATCCATCCATTTGTGCTGGGTTTTTGCCCTACCTAACAGCTGTGGTCAGGCTCCTGGCCATTACCCAGTTCCCGAGCAAATGGCCACTGACCCAACGTCAGCTGTGTAGAGTAAGCAGCTCGGTGTGCACTGCGAGGCCCGTGAGCTCCTTGCTTCTCCGTTCAGAAAGTGCCGCAGATCCAGCACATTTGCAAGTGCACCCACAGTTATTTTATGTCTATTCAATATGCCCAGAACGCACCGGAGTTGTGCAGCCAACATAGGCCACTCCAGACATGCCTGTCGGCGCCTCCAAGCCATTTTGTATTTGAAAAGTTTTGCAAACTATTTGCAAAATTGCAAACAATTTTGTGTTTTCAACAATAGTCATCTTAATGATGTTGGGCATAATAACTGGTGTAGTACAACCATTTTTTTCTGATAGACATTTTACTTTTTATCAACCACTAGGAGCTGAGATCCGTATTCCTTCTTTTAGTAGGTTTCATTGCTTTTACACATTCTAGCACATCAGTACTATGAAAATCAAAATCATGCCTACATTTTTCGTTGCTTTTACACATTCTAGCACATCAGTACTATACTATGAAAATCAAAATCATGCCTACATTTTTCAAAATTAAATGTACAAGCAGAGTTTTCTGGATGCATGATTGTAAAACGTTGTGTGCATAAAGTTGCATAAAATAATTTGCAACTGTATTGCAAGGTAAGCGGTTTTCTTGTTGACCACCTGTACTGGGTTGGCTGACCTAGGTGAGAAGCCCATTCTCCAGTCAACAGACGTTACTTTTTCAAGTAATGAAAAATTACCTGAAAACTAGCAAAAGCGTAACATAATTGCTGGAGTATTTTTGTCAATTTAAAGTAGAGGCTGGTATTTTATTATCTCTTTCTCTCTCTTGGACTACATTATAGTTTGTGAGGTGCTATGATGCATATATTAATTTTGGTGTGCATATTAATTTAGACACTGAATATGCATATGTTATAATGTGATGAATCTGTAATTATGCAGTATATTATGCTGACAAATGTACTGTGTACTGTCAGGCAGTAGAAAAACAGCTGAAGATCTGTGGCTTTAAGAGGAATGTGGATGTCCTAGTATTGTATCTGGCTGGACAGTAAGTAAAATGTTTCTCTGCTTGGCTTTTACTAAAAGTAGAGCACACAGTGAATGGTAACCTTTCATAGTGCTTTTTGTATCAAATACTCTCTGAACTTTATTTATATGTGAAATAACAGTAAATCGTGTTTACACATAGTCCATACATGTTGTGTAGGAAGATATGGTAAAGATACACTGACATACACAGCAGAGCTATAGTCACAGTTAGTTAACTGAAGTAGTTAACTGCCTCGGCCCTAGATATACAATCCTTCTCCAGCAACCCAGAATTGCTCGAGGGTCTGCAAGTTCACAGACTTATGCATGAACTTCTACCACAGGGAGCAGAGGAGCGAGGCTTAATGGGCTGATCTCTGCCTGTTCTAACTGGCTCGTCAGGCTGGGTGGAAAGAGTATCAAGAAGGCAAATGAAAAAAATGCAGGTCCTGCCCAGTCTAAGAACTGCCAAATTTCTGACCTCCCTGAAGAAATATCTTACTGCAACAGTAAACCTCATTGGTAGCACCCTTGAAGTTACCTGCATCTCTACTATAAAGGATTGACGGGAGGGCAGGGCAATGTGAAGTGAGTACAAGTACAGGAACACTTCTTTGGGGCTGGCAGTACTGATCAGAGAACTGATCTCCTCTGAGAGCTTTATGAAACAGCTTGAGATGTAGGGCAGATGAGGAGAAGAAACCATGCTAAGTGAAGGAAGGCAAAGCTTTCATGAGCCTGTGGGTGATCTAGGTTGATAGAGGTGTATGTTGTAGGATGAACATGCTGAGAGGCTACCATAGAAAGATGGATACATGACAGGGCATACTTCAAAGTTTTTGGAAAACATACTTTGAATTTCTGGCCAGGGCATAATTCCAAGTGTTGCATACCTGTCTGCAGCCTCACAACTGCATCTAGTGTTTGTACAGTTGATATCATATATAAAGAACTAATGTAGTTTAATTCAGGGACAAGGTTTTCAAGGCCTCTAGGTCCTAGGAATGCAAAAAAAAAAAAAAACCAACCACAAAAGGGTGTTAAGGGATTTCGGTGTTGTCTAGACTGTTTTTAGTGTAAATCAGGTGGTCCTGAAAATCAAGATATGCCTGCTAGTATCTTTAAATTTCTTAGCACATCTCCTGATTTACACCAAGAAAGTATTTGACGCTTTGTAAAAAGAAAATTTAAAACATAGTTACTGTCAAAATTGTTAAGATATGTATTTTAGAAAGAAGAAAACATACATAAAATCTAAGGCCAAGTTTAAATAATGAGAAAATTACAAGATGCATCTGTATATTTTCTAAACTATACAAGAAAATTATTATGTGTCCATGTAAAAGACTTAAGATCGTGTATGCATTCTTAATAGACACATTTTGTGATTTTAAATACTTAAATACTTGCCCTCACTGGCTTTGAAATATTTTTTGGTATGGAATAAAAAGAAATATTCCGATGGCAGATACAGAAGTGATCTGTCTTCCCATGAAACCATTTGGAGAACGATGATGCAAGCTGGCTTCTTTGATGATTGGAGAGAAGTGAATTCCTTTTATTCTATATCAATTTATATAAACCTTGAACCTTGGCCAATCTCAGTATCAGATCATGCCTCCTTAACTGTTGGTCTGACATAATTTTCTGCTGGCTGAAATAAGAAAATGAAAAAACAATAATTAAAGTCAATCAAATAAGAGGGAATGAGTTTGTATTTTTAAACCACTACTATTAAAGGTACATGAAAAAATGTATTTTTGGACACTGAAAGCTGTCATCCTGGGAAAACTGATTAACTTAGCAGTAGGTAGGAGAAGAGTGCTGCCGGCCAAAAAGGATCCGTTTGTAAGAGACATGCAAAGTCTGGAAGGCATACGGAAAGGGACAGGCTCTTTTAAAATGTTAGAGGAATTAAGCTCTACCTGGGGCAAATTAAATGCCTTAATAACAGAAAAAAAAACCAGATCAAGGCTTAGAGATAGTCAAGATGAGGCTGTTACTAGAGAGGGAGTAAAGGCAATTAAAACGTAGACCTGTAAACTAGGTATAGAACAGCAGTGACAAAGAATATGAGGACATTTTGGCCTTGCTACCTGAAAAGTAGTTCAGGGATGTACAGGTAGAACTGCACAGAAGAATTATAGAGATAACATATTTTCTGGTTACTTGTGACAGTAGACACATAAATATGTATTTGCAGGGTTTGTTTTTATGGATGATTGGAGGAAATCATATAAACAGTTTAACAGTGTAGCGACATGGGATGATCTGATTTTCAGAAATACAGGAGACTAAAAGTACAGCACCTCAACTTTGGAGATTTTTAACAAGATTTTTAACAGATTGTTTTTTTCAAACACAAGATCAGAAAAGGTGTCTACTCCCTCTTTGTCTGTATCTGGAGGGTTTGTTGAAAAAAACGAAAAAAAAAACTCAAACCATGAGAAACTAGAGACTAGACTTCACAGTTGGAAAACAGGCAGACCATTTTAGGCTGGTGATGTGAGGTTAATTTCTATTAATCCTATTCATTCTTTCTGAAACCCTGACCCTAGTCTTGCAACACATTAAAATCCACGAGGAAAGTTTTATAAAGTCAATTAAAATTTGTCATGTAAAGGTCATCTGCAATTATTCTAGAGGAAATCAAGAACATTTATTTAAAGCAATGAAAAATAAGGAGGAGCAATTAGTGAAAATGACTCGGCAGCTCACGAAAATGCTCTGGTTAGTAGGTAATTTGTTATTTATCATACACTAGCAAGCTCAAAATGCTAGATACACAATTAAAAAAACCCTACCAGCCCATAGGAGATAGTTCCAGCCTCAGTGGATCTGCAGTTTTATTTAAAACAAGACTCTTAATGTGAATAAATACTAAGTTTATATGAGGACAGGAGAGAAGAGGGATGAAAAAAGGCAAAAGATTTCACAATCTACACTAATATGAAAAATAATAAGAAATGTACATGGCTGTGCTTGGTGTCTGTCTTCTGTTGGCTTCTCTGGCATTGCGGCTGGACAATCCACACGGCACCTTCAGAGCAATTTTCCTTTTAGTTTTGTGGCCCCAGGATGCCAAACTTCTCCTCCTGTGTTCTGAGCAGTTTCTACAAACTGCAAAGTGTAAGTTCTATAACTTACACTCCCTGGGAAAATAAATGCTGTTATGGAAAAAAAAAAAATAAATGTATCACTTAGTTTCTTCCCATTTCTTTACCACCTGCTGCTTTGTTGTGCCTTCAGGTGTGTGGAAAGCTTACAGTCTCTCTGCCATCTACTTATTTGCATCTTTCCCTGCTATGATTTCTACAGAACTGTGGCTTTTTAGTGCTTGCATAGAATTATTTATAAAAAATTGAACTGTTTATAAAGTGATTAGGCACCATTAATGTTAAGAAATTTGTTTTTTTTTCTTTCTTCCATCAGAGGACTAAGAAGTATCCCAAGTCTATCACAGTTTCATAGGTTAAGGTATTTGTGGATTAACAACAATAAGGTAATAAGGTATTCCTTTAAAGAGCAGAACAATGCATCAATACTCCCTGATTATTATTTTGTAATTTTTCTAACATAAAGTATTACATAATTGCCAAGCTAATAAATTGGTTTTATTTTCCAGGTAAATTTAACTGACTTAAATATGACAGTTTTGAAGAAACAGTATTTTGGTTTACATTACAGAGTATAAGCTGATATTTTCTGTCAGATTGACATCACATTTATAGATTTTGTGTATTTAAGAAGCTGAGGTTTTGTGCTAATACCTCAGCAATAAAAAGAAAGATTGAGTATATTTAGCACTAAGTTATTGGCAAAATTGCCTGATACCATACCGATACCGGAGGTCTGGGATAGCAGTTTCCAGTGTGGCTCATAGCAAGTGTACCCTGGAACAGACCAAGGGTGATATGGCTGTAAGGTGTTCTTATAAAAACTTCTGGGCTTCCTAGTTTTTCAGTAAAGGACTGGACTGCGGGAAATGCATAAGTCTTTTTTCATGATCCTGCTGACATGCATAGTTTATTTCCTGGCAGGCTGGTGGTTGAGGTGAGACTCCTTTTTGCCCTCATGCACACTAGAGTGACATATAACTCAGATGTGCTTCTCCCTGCACACAGGAGGTAGCACTGCAGTGCTAGGTTTTATGGGGTATCTTCTGCCATTATGCAGGCCATTGTGTCACCTAAATATGTTCGATTTAAGGGAGATTTCCAGGTAAGTGATTAGAGTACGACATTGGGCCATGCATTAATTTCTCTTGTTTCCAATGCATTGTATGGTCCTAAGTCCGTTACATAAACCACATGCGTTACTTTCTGCATCTGTGCAAATCTAGATGATAGTATTTATTATATCCTGTAGGGGTTTTAAGACAATGCTCTGTCAAAATCGCCAGACACTACAGTTTCCAGCCAAGACTAAGCACATCATATCTTAGACAAAATCATCTACTTGACAGTAGAATTAGCTGATTTAGAAATTTCCAAATATATATTATACATAATATAATAGTAGATTATTAAATGGTTAAATTGAATCCAAACCTTCACCATTAGCCACTGGTAATTAAAAAACAAGAAAAGTGATAAAACCCACAAATTTCTAACCTGTTTTTAAATATCTTACTGTACAGTAGTGTATATGACTTTCACAATGGGCTTGAGTTCTTAAAACACCAGAATTGCTTGCTCAGGTAAATAAGTAGCTCTGTGAGCAGCAGAAAAAATAAATTTACATTCCATGTCATTTAGGAGCATACATATATCTGCTGCCCCAGGCTAACATCAATTATACAGCATCTTATGTCAACTTCATTGAAAGACCTGTGGTTATCCAACTATTTTCAAAAAAAGTTGAAATATGGATACATTAAGAGGTGAACTAAAATCACAGGTATAATAAGTCTTTCCCTTGTATTTCTAAAGGACACTGAAGAATAAGAGGAAATGGCCTGATGACTAAGCAGAACTGATCTTGCTGACCATAAAAGACAAATAACTGATTTTTGCCCAGATCTTACTTCCTACCTAAGCAGTAGCAAAGAGCATTCTTCTGTTGTTCTGTATAACTTGTGTGGTGTGGCTTTTCTTAGGAGAAGTCTCAGCTAAATGCTCTAATAGGAGGAGCATATTTTTCTAAACTCAGAAGATACACAATCTTTTTCCTTAAAAATGTATCACAATAATTTTATCACAAAAATGTAAATTTCAGATGACCCTAAAAAAGCCAAACTTGTCAAAGATAGGGAAAGGCCACTATATACAACAGGTATGTGTGGGCTTTACACTATACAAGATACAATAATCATGGTGAAGAATAGTATTTTTTTATTTGTAGAATATTGCTGTTTTCACCGAACCAGTTTTTTTCTGAGGTGAAGCAAGACTCAGAGAATGGTATCATTTTGAACTTTGATGTTTAAACTTTTCTCAGAGGATTTCAGAGAACTTTAGGAATGGAAAGGCCTCTTTCTTATTCTTCTCCTTCCAACTTTGAGATATTATTAATATACAGAACAATCAGTGGCACAAATCAAGGACTGAAATAATTCCCTAACAAATGGCTTTGCATCACAGAAATCAAAGTAGTATCAGGAATAAAATTCTGTTTGTTGTTCTTGCATTTGAACTGTAGGATAAATACTTAGGCACCATTAGTACACCCAGTTCTCAACTGTCATAGTGGTCAGCTTCGTATCCCATTGCATATACTTTACCTTGCACTGAAGTCAAGACAATATTAGAACTGAACTTCTCCAAGCAAGGGGATGAGATTTCATAGGGACTGAAGATAACTCTTTATTGGGAATATACCCATGCATGCATTTTTTTTCTGTAATTGTAATTGATTCTGCAAATCTGATTAAATGTAATTTTTTGAAATATAGAACAGATATGTGCTCTTTGGACCTGCTGCTAAGAAATAATTTTGAAACTAGATGCTGGGCTTATTCCAAGGATATATTTCAGGAGTATTCTTAAATCAACATAGAATTATTACATCTTACAATGGTGTTCTCACAATAAAAAATATTTCAAATGCAAATAGAAGTAAAAAAAAATGCGAAGACCAGTAATTCCAATTAAATCTGTTTCCAAATACAAATACTGAATTTGTAGTTCAAAAAATTAGGTAAGGCTGTGCTACATGTATTTGATGTGTAATTAATATTTCTAATGAAGGTTCAGCTGTCAAGAGAATCCCTAAACCAAGAGTCTTAAACAGGAATATAAGAAACTACTTACAGTTAAACAGTTTTCAAGAGGCTGCTTTTATACATCTCAAAAGTTAAATTTAGACTGACATATAACAGTTTTCCTAACTCTTAATTTCAGATTCAAGATTTAACCTTCTTGACCAAAAACTATTGCTTGACTGAACTCTATCTCAACAATAATGAACTGACAGATATATCAGGTACCAATATTCCCTTTTTAGATTGTTGAGCAGAGGCCTATACTTTCTTTCCTGTGTATTGGTATTCAATTTTATAAAAGCGGACGACAGCAGGTAACCATGGTTGAAAGCTGCTATGTATGCATAACAATACATGTTAATTATTTTCTTAGAGATTTAATTGTTCCAGCATACTTGAATGGCAATAAGGTGATGTGTTTATCCTGGTCTTAGGGGTGAAATGTTATTCACTTCAATGTCAAGCAATTGTACAATATTTTTGATCTTACATGACCATATTTCATGTTGAAAATGAACATGCAAAACTCTTCTTGCACGATGATTTGTAGTCCTCTTGCTGACCAGGTACTCCGTAAGCTGATAGAAGTACCTTTTGAGAGCCATTAATGTTTATATTATGAAAAACTGATAGTGGTACTGACAGATTTGACAGGTAAATAAAAGGGTAATAATTTCATAAGTTTTCCCACCTGTAAGGTAGTCACTAAGGTTCTGCAGTTTCTTCGTGATATAGTTACAGTTAAAATCAGAAGTATTTTTCAAAGTTACGGTAAAACTGTTTTATTATAAAATTGCATGTCTTACACTTCTATTTCAGTTTTGCTTGCTCTTGTAGATTTAACTTCCTTTATCAGACTAGTGAATTTGTGAATGGAAAGACCAAAGCATAATAAATTTAAATGTTAATATTTTACTTTTCTCTGTCTCTATAAAATGTTGGAATGAGAAATTATGTTGATTAGTTTCTGTGAGTTTTTGAGAAAAATGAATGTTTGAAAAAAAGAAACATATGGGCATAAGACAATACCGAAGATAACAAAATATGGGTAAACATAAGGGCGAGCATCATTGATAGAGAAATGTGGATGAGAAATACTGTATAGAATTTGGAAAATGAGATGTCTATGCCTGATATGGTGTGAGGATGTAAACACATAGCCTGTGTCAGCCACAACAATATTCTGTAATAACTTTTTAATATATTGGTAATTATTTGAAATTGAACTATTTTCTAAGGAATTCACTATTTATTGCTTGTGAGGCAAAGGTACTATTAGGGATATACTATTATTTGTGAAGCAAAGATAATATTAGGTAAGGGTAAAAGGAAATGAAGACAAATTAATCAAAGATTACTGGGATATAGGAGGAAAGAAGGGAAGAAGAAGAGAGGATGCAGTTGATGTTGATTTGTTGAGGCAAGGGTGGTGGGGACAAGTGGGAGGAATTGGAATAAAAAAAGTTAGGCATGTGTTCAAAGGATGTGACTAGAAAGATGAAAGGGATATTGAAATCTGTGATAATTTTTTTTTTTTCACTAATCTCATGCAATGTGTTGCCAAAAGGCAGGCATAGATGGATAACTAGAATATCGAATTTAGTGTGCAGCAAAACAAAGTGATTTTCTAATAAAGGCAATTAGGTATGGTGAGAATAATTAATTGTTTTTCATTTTATTTCAGGTGCTCTGAAACACTTACATGCGTTACAGATTCTGTTGCTTCATGACAACCAGTTAAAAAAACTTGGCACAACAGTGAAGGAATTGAAAGGAATGATAAGCTTGCAGACCCTAAGTAATACCTTATTTTTATTTTGCAGAACAGTGAGCAGTAGTTTTTTAGTGTTTCTTATCAGGATGTTTCTTGTCTGTTTCCGCATCATTTGCCAATAGCTTTTGAAGCAAAATATCAATTTCAACCAAATTTGACAGAAGAAAGAGATCTCTAAGACATGAAAATTCCACAGAGAGTACCTCAACTAAGAAAAAACTGCCAAATGAGTTCAGAAGTTAACTCTTTTTGGCTGCTGGCTAACCAGTCTCCTGGATGAGTAGCTTGGAGGCAGGCAAAGCCGTTTACCGCTTTTTATAAGGGAACACGGGACTACAGAGAGATTATCACAGAGGTGAAGGGAGTTAAAAAACGGGTGTTATTGCTGTTGAGAGTGTGAGTGATAGGTTATAGAACCCAGATTCCTGCCTCATTGATTCTGTTGCTCATAGAACTTAACTTTCTGCATTTTTTTGGCAGGCTCTATGGATTTCTAGAGTCTAAGAATAAATATACTTTAGATATTAAATATAAATGTGTTAAGTAGCATACTTTTTGATATACTGGCTGGAAATGAAAGCATAGGCTCTGGAATTTCAAATTAAGTTGTACAAGACAGTGTTGGCGTCACTAAGTTACAATGTGAGAATTGGGGAAAGTAGGATTATATGCTATTAACCTATTGAAAGTGAAAATGTGAACAGTCTTTTTCCATGGTTCCTAAAAGAATGTCGTTGTAGGTCATGCCAAATGCTCAGTACTTTGAGAAAACAGGAAACAAGTTTCATGTCTTAGTGACACAGTTAATGGAGGTGAATGTCATCAAGCCATACCTCCTTATGCATTAAAGAAATTGAAGATCTGTTTGCGGGAAAGGAAAATATGGCTTGAAAAATACACTTTTAATTGAACTTGACACTGGGCCAAAATTAAAAAACAAATCAAGTGTTTAGGAAGACAACATGTCAGCCAAATTATTGTCATTTCTTCATTGAAAAAACAGTCCATTTAAGAATGCAGTTGTTGGAAGTGATTAGGCAAAGTCTGGAAAAGACATCCTATGTATGAATGGTGCAGTCACTTGAATAGCCCTACCAATTAATAAGGAGCTTCAAAAAGCACAGGGAGCTTGTTGTACTTGTTGCAATCATCTGTGGGAAATAAAGACAAACAACTGATAGTTAAAGTGCTGCAGGGTTATTATGAATGGCAGTCACAAAGACAGTGAAAACTGGGTGCATTTTGGACTAGCTGCCACCATAGAAAAGCAAGTGTGTACGAGAATTATCAAACAATATATGGAATATACCAATCTACCCTGATAAAAAAAAAAATTGTTTTTTAGTTCAAAGATATGAGAGTAAATGCTAATCATGTAGTTAAATTCTTGGAAGAAACTTAATAACTTTAACAACCTTAACTTTACAGCCATTCCTTTTTGACCTTTCTAGTCATGAAAAAAATTGTCAATGTGTTTGTTTCAAAGAGATTTCATAATAATGAGTTCTTAAATTAACAGGACTCTATTTGTTTAATAAAATGCACCATCATATTTGAAGTGAATGACAGCAGTAAATGAACAAAATAAATTTTCAAAGTCATGTCCTATATAACATATATTACTACATAGTTTATTTGCCTACTTGCAATGCTCAGAAATGTGAAATGGGAGCAGAATTTGCACTGTGTAGCTTTGAAAAGGCCTGCGCTCATAATTCACCTTTATAAAATAAAAGCTGTTTGGGGATCGGAGAGTTCTCACTGTTGTGAGGTAGATCTTTTTTATTGCCAGACAATCCGATTAAAAAAAAAAAAACAAAACACTTGCTAGCCTTCCATAGACCTTCTGGGTGCATAATAGCATTTTATTATTTTGTAGCTCGTGGGGACATTAGAACTAGTAGAATGGAGCAGTCTAATACACTATTATTGTTCACTTCAGAAGGAGCATCCAGCTGCCAAAATGTTGCATTTCTCTTCCTTAAGGCTCTCTTTTGATTTTTAGCCACTGCCTTTCACTGGATTTGTAGCATAACACCATTCTTCATCAGGTGTTTAGGGAAGACACTCAGCTTCTAAAGATGTACTGGGTGGATTGCTCACAACTGCAGCCTTTTGGGAGATACAGAGGGTTTCTTTATGGGCTCACCTTGTGTTCACATCTCCTTTTTGGAATCCAAGATTTTTGTTATGTACTCTGTAAATTGCCTCAACTGATTTATTATCCACAGCTGATAACATCTTGCTGCTAGACCTCAGAAAACTCCTTTTGTTCTTCATTATGTTTCTACCACAGTTGTTCCTTTCTGCCCCATGTGGGTTAGGCACACGGTTTTCCTACACTCCAGATAGAGAAAACAAACAAAACTATGGAGGAAGAAAGCATTATTCCTAATTTGTAGAAGTAAAATTGCATGACCTTGACAAGAAAGTAGATACTAGAGCCAAGAACTGATCCCAGGTATTTTGTAAAATAAGACCATCTTGATCTGTACAATGGTTGGATTTATTGTAAGAATGAGTAGTAGAAAAATTCATATATTCTAAAACAAACCTACAAATCAGTGTTGATGAGGAGGGATGTGCTCCAAGTATCATCCAGATTCAGAAGTACTTAGTATCAACCCTGGTTTGTGCCTTGGAAAAATCTCTCTTGAATCTTCCTTTCATTCCACTACCAAACTTACCTGCTTTTAGAGAGCCTTCTGAAATGTTTCTCTGTCTGGAATGCTATCACATATTTTCTAGACCCAAGAACAGGCTTATCAGATATATACCCAATATTCAGATATACACCTAATATTCTTTCCGATTAACACTTTCTAGAAAAAATAGCTATATACTACTTCGTTCAGTAAAAATGGAACTTTCTTTTGCTGCCACCTTGTGGGTCTCTTGCTGCTTCTAAGTACACTGATTTTTTAAAAATTTGTTAAAGAATTGAAATATTTCAAGTTCTCTTCTGAATACTTATTCAGGCATTTTCTGTGTAGGAGATACCAAATACCCATTACAGCCTTACTGCACCCTCAAAATAACTGCTGAAGTTACATATAACGGGATTTGTTACCTTAGAGTGAATATTAGCCACAGCCTCTCCTCAAAAAGAGAGAAACAGACCAATGTAGACCTTGGTAGCAGTTGTCAAAATTATTGATTTAAGAATTTTTTTTTCTTTGCTCTGATCTCAAGGTAGCAGCCTCCTGGTTATTCTTACTGTGTCAGAATAACAGCATTTGTATAAGGAGAAACATGGCATTATTATGTTTTTCATTTAGAAAAAAACCAAACCAAAACAAAAAACACCCAACAACACTTGTTTGTTTGTTAGCCGATCTGGGAATGAGCCAGTTTCTAGTTTAATAACCTCAGATGTCACTCTCTTGAAACAAACTGATCTGGCATGTCAGCTAGGCAAATGTTCCACATCTGGCAAAGCAGCAAGGCAGTATTGATACCTGTCTCTGTGTTGCAACGGTTTGGTTATTCAGGCAATGTGAACCTGAACGTAAGTATTTTAGTCAAGCTGCTAATGGGCTTCTGGCGCTTAGTACCTCAAGTCTTAATGAAAGCTAGTGGGACCCAAGTTGTCAGGAACGTAGGCCCTTTTAAACATTTTACTCTTTAAGTTTCTTGAGTTTTCAAACTCATCATGTGTCAGAACATCAGAAGACTGGGTATTTACATTTTATATTGTGTCTATGGGATAAGAACTTTATATCGGCTATGATAAACCCTTAGGTGTCCTAAAGCTCATCTGGTTTTAATAACTCTCTTCCACTACAAATCTGATGTCTTACCTTTAAGCTGTCACACCTAAAAGACTGCTATTATTTAAAATAGGCATCACCTAACAATACATAAGAAAATCAAAGGCAAACACTCAGTGTTTTTGTCTGTATAGCATAAAAAAACAGCATAAAAACCTTCAAAGGTTTGGAGTGCATGATGGCACTTTTACTCAGTTTGTGACTGTAGTATTTTGCATACTCTGCAATAAGCCAATTATTGCAGCCTGTGTTTAGTTGAGTAATTTTGCATATGTAAAGAGACTGTGCTTTGTTTACCCAGCATAAGAACAATTTGAATTTGATAATATTTAGTACAAAATCATTGGCTACTAGTGATCTTCAGTTCTCCTGCCTTGCTAAGTTAGTTGTTTTTCTTTTGCTGGGTTTGTTTTTTGTGGTGATGTTTGTTCTTTTTGTATACATTTTGCAGACCTATTCCACAACCCTCTGGCACAAGACCCAGACTACCGGCTTTATGTGATATACTTCCTTCCTTCCGTACAGCTCCTTGACAGGAAGCGTAAGGATTGCTTTCCTCTTCTCACAAAGCATTGACAGTTGCTTTTGATTTTAATCAGTTTGGAAGAATAGGTGAATTAATCTTGCCTGTTCTTTTATGTGCACTTGTTGATATAGCAAAAAATCTATTGATGGGTATCTACCCATTTTTGGCAAGACTTATCAAGCAAATAGACTTTGCATGGCATAAACAGTTTACTTTTTGTCAAATGCTTTTGATTTCTGTCTTCTTCTATTTAAATTGTGTATGTTTATCTTGTATCTTGGTCTATATATTTTTGGGTAAGAGGGGTAAAGGACTGTACTTAGAAACATGTACATACAGTTGTGCATTCAAATTGGTATAGTCACGTGGGTGAGCATGTTTACTTAAATATGGATAATATCCTCAGCTATCTACATGTTTCTTTAGATATGAATATGCATGTTCCTTGGTAAGGTACATGCTGACCAAATTATCAAATATAAATCTTCTAAATCATCAGGAGATCTTTTACAGCTTGTCTACTGTAAATTCTACAGAAAAAAAAAAAATTATCTTAAGAATAGCCAGATCATAAATCAGTCAATCCACAAACGTGCCACAGTGGACCCAGAAAATCAACTTTGGTGATTTTTGACTCTGGTGTTTGGAGAGCTGTGTCATTGGCCAGAGGACTGAAAATAACTGGAGAGCACCGAGAGAGGTGTTGATTCCTACCCCAGCTCTACCTCGTAAGAAAGTAGCAAGGAGAAACAATGTCGTCTTGAAAACCTGCTCCCAGTCTCTAGGAGAATCAGGATGCAGGATTTGAGCAAGGCAGGCACGGGACCTCTGCAGGTGCTGGCAGGCTGTGTAGCTCTGTGATGAAGGAAAGCTGGTGGGGGAGCCACAGCATGTGGCGGGGGTTGATGAGGAGCTGCTGGATCTGACCGCAGGACCATTTGCTTACACATTCATTTTGCACTGGTACTTCCAGTCTCTTGAATATTTGGTCTTGTGTTACATCTGCGCTTAGCACGTCTGTCAGGCTGTTTTACTAATGATCATTTTTGACTAGGGAGCGATGACTGATGCTTAATGTGCTGGAAAATACGTGTTGCATTTACAGCTCTAGAAACACTTCCTTAAAACTTCCTCGACTTAATCTCCTAAATACAGTTATACTGTAATCAGTCCTGGATTAAGATGTGAGGCATTAATTCCTATCAGGCTGTACCCCGGACTTTCTATTTAGTGTACTGTTTTTTCTAACATTACAAAGCTTCTTCACCATCTGTGGAACATTACCACAGCATAGTCCTGGCTGTCTCCTTTACACAAGACGTGCTCACATTTCTGTTACCTCCAGGCATGACTACTGCAGTTCCTTCCTAATTGGTCCCCTAGACACCATGACTTAAAAACTTCCCTGAATTCAAAATGCTCTGCCAGAATTAGTTACTTGTTCTAAATCTTTAGCTCACTTCTGTTCCATAGCTGAAGTACTAGGTTAGTATGCAGTACCACTGAAGTCAAAATCCCCTATTTGACTTAACAGTCGCAAACTCTTTGTTTAAAAGTTAGTTATTTTTGAATTAAAGTGCAAAACAGGAAAACTTGAACCTTTTCTTTTGATTGCACTCCTACAATTTTCTCTGTAATTGAGCAACGGGAATTGAACTGGCCTTGAACCAGGACTTGGTTTTGCTATTTATAAAGAAACTTCCAAATCTTTACTCACTTCTGCAGTAGATCTCATTTAAGCAGTATGAAAGCTTTGCTTTCTAGTTTCTTCGTTTAAGACTTCTGATCCTACTGCACTCAGAAGAAAAAGCTATTTTATTAGCCAGGGCTTCACCCTAAAGCCTTTGGAAGTATCACTCCATGTTCCCATTCTGAATTGTTGTGAAATTATGAAGATTTATACCACTGTTGTTACAAAACTGTGCACAAAAAAGAGTGAATTAACTTCTGCATGCAGATAGATAATCCCAGCCTTTTAAGTCGGTGGAAAAAAAAATGTATATCCCTTTTAACAGCAGTTACGCAAAGAGAAAGGGAGTCAGCGCTTCATCTTTGTAACCGCGAAAGGTCTTGTGTCATGCAGTCAATAGCTTTTGGAAAGAGAGTAAATACACCCCTGGGGACTACAGCGGCATCTAGCAGATACACTCAGCCAGCCAGAAGACTGATGATACCCTCAGGTATTTATAATAAAGTAAGGAAAAGCATACATTTTTAGGTGATTTGAATTAGAAAAAGTTCATTTATCTGATAAAAAGTTATTTGATTTGTAATAAAGTATATATGCATCAGGAACTCAACCAAATTGCTTCATAAAGTGGTAGCAGCAGCAGCAGGCAACACATGAATCCTTCGTCTAAGAGTATACTGGCTAATAAGTTCTAGTCACTCCCTGTAGTTACAGAATTGTCTTTAAAGATAGCTGAAAACAAGATTTCATTTTTTTCAATATGTGTCTTGTGAGTGTTTAGTTTTATTTAATTAAAAATACATCTTCTAGGCTGAATCTCAGACAGTGATCAGCACCGCAGAGTTTTGATGCCCTCTAGTGCTTTTATGAAATAATCTCTTGAAGAAAGTATTTTCTTCAAAAGTGTTTTCGATTTTACATATCTTGTCTAGTTTTGTAAGCAGATTCCTTTTTATGCTTTTCAAGGTGAGAATATTTTAATGATGTCTATAATAGCATATAAAGTAATTTTTAGAGTCCTTAAAGCATTCAGATCTGGAAGACAGCACGATCCTGGCACAAGAAAGCAGGTGAATACAGCCTGGAACCTTGTGACTTGTACCGTATGACAGTCCAGAACGAACCTTGAAATCCCACCCCATCTCATTTGCTTTTTTGATGTTTTAAAGATAAAGAACCAATACTGTGCATAGCTGACTGAAATGGTAGCATTTTAAACAGGAGAGTAGATGAAGTTTGGAACAGTTATAAAATGCCTGCAATTTTTCTTTAATGTGTGTATCACATTAGTGAACCTGAAAGCAGTGTATTTAACAATCATTTTGAAAAGGTTGGGGAAAAAAGGATAGTTTAATCATGTTTAATAATACATTTGTTTTACTGATAATTATCAAAGTAAACATAAAGTTGTCTTTATCTCTACCATGCAATCAGTCACATAGATAGACAGTGGCATCATTTTCCTTTGAAAGAAAAAAAAAATGCATGGAAATGTATGTCTTCAGGAAATAAAATACAAGAACTACATAAAATTTAAAAAAAAACAACCAGCGTATATTTGTTACCACAGTAATTTAATAAAAGATGATCTTGAACATTTCAAATCATCTGCTAGTTTTCAGTTCATTTGAACACATAATTTAGGATCAGGATGGTAATCCTCTGCTAATCAAAATGCTGTACAGCCATTCATGTTTTAATTTGAACTTTTTGTTATAGGTTGTGAATTTGGAAATCACACAAATAAGTAAGTAATTTTTTTGATTTTTTTTTTCTTTTGCATCTCTGAAGCATTTACTTAATTCCTCTTCTTGTGCCTAAAAAATACTTTAGCCAGATAAAATGGCCAGTAAAAATGAGCTTTTGAGAAAATGTCTGGTCTTTGTGTTTAACATAGTTGCAACTCCATGCTATTCCCATGAGACAACCTATCCACTGCTGTCTGAAATTTAATATTGAAAGGTATTCCACATTTGGAAAGGGCTATATATAAAAATGCTATTTATTTATAAGATCAAATACTGATCACGAGAAAAAGCATGCGTTAAGTATTAGAGCATCAGAATAGCTGTTCTGTATTATGGCCCAGAAAACTTTCTCCTGACTGGCTGTTCAAAAAATACACACTCTCTGGAAAATATTATGACTTGTAGAATGAAACTTTTTTAGTCTGTGCTTGATTTTATTTTTATTCTGTTCGGTTTCAAAATCACAGAAATGAATGTAAAACTTCTCTCTGTTACCTCTGTGTCTGGACTGAGGCAGTATAAAGGTTGCATTTTAATGTGATGACATTTTTAGACGCTATATCTTTATAGGAGTAAATTTACAAACTTCAGGTATCAGGCTTGTTTTTACTTTCTAGCTTTACATGAGAAAGTATTTGAAAAAATTATTAAGGAAATAATAAAAACCTACATATGATTATAATCTTTTAACAATTTGATTTTATATAGCTACTCACTTTGAGTACAGCTTTTTACAGTCAAGCTAATGTATGTTTAAAAAAGAATTCTTACCTGCTTTTAGTGGAGTTAGCAGTCCTCACTGATAGAAGGGATGTACAGCTTCCTCTCCATCTCATGTAGATGATTAGGCTTTGCAAGGTACCTTTTCACAGAATCATAGAATTGTCTAGGTTGGAAGAGACCTTTAAGATCATCAAGTCCAACTGTTAACCTAATGCTGCCATCCCACCACTAAACCATATCCCTAAGCACCTCATCTATCCTTCTTTTAAATACCTCTAGGGACAGGGACTCGACTCCCATGACTTCATGACAAGGTGTGTTGTTCTCACCGGAAGTAGTCACATGGTTTATATTAGGTTGTGTTGCTACAAGTACATCTTTATGAAATAAGTTCTTGGAAGATCAGATTTTAATATTGTATCAGAAGTGAAAGATTTTGGTTTAACATGAATGAAGTCCTTGTCAATTCTGCATTGACGTTTTGAGTCTGCCACTTTTCTCTCCCAGACTGCATCTGGGGCAGGGGATGCATGAACAATACAAGCTCACGGTGTTCTGGAGTCAGAGCTTGGAGAAGGGATATTTGCGTGGTGGCTAGTTAAAATATCCATGTTGAAATAAACATGCGGTTGCATTAATGGGTGTCATATCACTATGAAATCAAAAAAGTACTTTTATTATTTCCATTGAATCAGAGCATTAAAAGTATACAACAATGATAATTTTTGTGGAAAAAAAAAGCAGTAAAAAACAAAATAACATTTTAAAGTCTACAGTAAATGTATTTTAAATAACTTATGGCATTTTTTTTTAATTAGAATCCTGTGATTCTTTACTTTTTTCATTTTGTTTTGATTTCTTAGATTTGTTAACAGAAGGAAGAGTTCCAAACATAAAATTTTTCAAATCCTCGCTGTTATTATGTCATTATGACTTCTAACTTTAATTTCTACACAGAGTGGGTCTAGTAAATTATCTCCAAAGTAGTTTGGAAACATTCAGATAATGCGCATTTGCTTTGTTCTTTTTGCAGAGTAACATTTGAGGACCCCGAAGATGCTGTTTTACTACGGGCAATGACAAGATCCCTAATGGAATTCTCCTCTGTTGACTGGAACAAAGTAGCCACCTGTCAAGAAAGACGGCTCAAAAACAAAGCAGAAGAACCCCATGAGAAACTGACAATCCGATTTAGATGATTGCTTTCTTCCTTAAGAAAAAAATTATTCCTCCCTCTAGTGTGAAGATAAGCCTCTTAAGTAAGTTAATATCTCTATAAAACAAGGGCACCAAAACATGCGTCTGATTAAATGAACTTCCAGCAAAAAAAAGTATTAGTGTAGCATTCCTTTTATCACCAGATATGTAATATAGAGAGTGAAGAAATTAAGAAAACAAATGATAATTAGTGGCAATGTTACAATAGAAGTTGCTTGGAATGCAATTCTTACCATATTTTTGTTATCAGAAATTAGTAAAGCTAAACAGCAAGTTAATTTTTAAGAAACTAGGGATAAATAATGTAATTCCTTATAGTTTCTACTGGAGAATTAGACTTACCATGTACACTAGCAGTAATTTGCCTTCCTCAAGTTAAAGACATGAGAAAGCAACCATGAAGCTTGTCTTATTTCTGAGAGGGATTAAAATTTCAGTTTGCTAATTTTTGTGCTGCATGAACACACCGAAAACTCTTAGTTTTATGAGGGTACTCATTTGGTCTCAATACTGTGGAACCGTGAGCTCGTAAGCATGCTGATACCTAGCTCTTGTCTGTGGCTGCTAATATTCTCCCAGGATGCAGGCCTCGGCTTACTGGTCCTTTCGGAGAGACAGGACTTGCTGTACACACTGCACTGCCCCAAGACCGCTGACTGCTTTTAAACACACTCACACACGGGTCATGCAATGCTGTAGCGCTACACCTGACACTTCCAGCTTCTAAAACCTGTGTTACCACTAAGGAAGTTACTGGGAGATGTGCATATAGATGGAAAATAACGCATTTCCTCACATCTTTCTCCCTCCATTCTGCCAAAAGCCTACAGTCAATGCTACCTGACATATCAAAGCCTGTGGCTTGTCTTCTGAGTTCCCACTTTCTCTCCTAAGTTAGCACAGTCACAGGACGGTCTAGGTTGGCAGGGATCCTGGAGCTTATCTAGTCCGACCTTCCTTCTTTAAGCAGGTCTGAGATTACGTTATCCAGTTCCCCGCTGTCAAGGTGAGTTGAATATTTCCAATGAGGGAGGTACCACCACTTCTTGGCAATCTCTTTCTGTGTTTAATTGCACTCCAGAGCAATTTTCTTATGTTCGGATGGAATTTCACCTGCAACAACTTGGGCTTGTTGGCTGTTGTCCTGTCACTGAGCATCCCCTATCTTCTCTACAACTACCTCTAGGTACGGTAAGACTGTGATTAGATCTCCCCAAGTCTTCTTTTCTCTCGGCTGAACAACCCCAATTCCTCCAACCCTGTGATGGCCATGGTGGCACCCTCACTGGGCCTCTTTTCTTTTTTAATGTCTGTCTTGAACTGAGTTCACCAAAATGGGACAGAGTATTCCAGGTGTGGCCTAGCAACTGCCAACTCAAGTGGAATAATTATGCTTTCCATCTGCCAGCTGTGCTATACTGTGCATGGCACCATTTCCCTTCGGTGCTGCCAGGGCACACTGCTGGCTCCAGGTGAGCTTGCTGCCCACCAGGACCCCCAGGTCCTTTTCAGCAGATCCAGACAGGTCCCAGTCTGTTACTGCTGCTTGGGATTACTCCACCCCAGATACAGGACTTTGTTAAATCTTGTCATTCCTTTCACCTTTTTGCTGATATCCTTCCTTTTTTATTTCAACTTCCCTATTTTTCTTGCTTGAAGTTCCGTGCATTTTGTAAATGCCCTTAAATTAACCGCATCTTTGTGGTTTTAAAAGGTAGCTCAACGCCTTGGTTTTGATGGGGTTTCAAGAATGTTTAATTTCTCAAATTGAGTCAGTCTACAAAGAAGCTAGACCATACCAAGCTTTGGCTAACATGTTTTCTTAAAGAGGTCCTCTCCAAGTAACTGTCCATTAGGATTTAGTAAGTGTATTCCCTAGTTTGTCTTGAGTCTTTTGAACTCTGACAGCTGACTATGCTCATGGACATAGTCTGTGATGCAATCATTTCATAGCAGCAATTTCACAGTCCCAGAATCTGTAGATTTTACATAGAATCATAGAACATGTCATAGTAGACACAGAAAAGGCTGAATTTAAGCGATACTTCTCTGAAAGCAGACTGTATCCCACTTGGAACTAGACTAAGGTAGTAAGCAATGCCATTTCAGAGTAAATTTCATTGATTTCAAATTTTTGGATCAAATTAGAGGAACAGTATTTCTGGCCTGGAATATTTTTCTGTCCCTGTCTTCTTTTGATTAAAGAAGAATTTAAGTGAAATGAAGAATCATTTCCATTTTCTGCTCAGAGAATGCTGCAATGCAATGTTTCAACATAAAGAATTTTATTACAGAATCTTTTATAACAACTAATTTAACATTTCCTCCAAATAATATCAATTTTGAAAAGAAAATATACATTTTACAGGAGTAACTGTTTAAGAATTTTAACATGACTTCTTGTAATGTTTTTGAGCATATAGATGGGCTCAGAGAAGATGACAATGAGTCAGTTTATACATAATCTTTGATGGTGAAAAGTCTCACATTTTTTTGGCCCTCCCACTATTGTACACAAGTGTCCCAGGAATACACAGATTAAACAAAAAAAACCTACCAGAAGCTACCATGGCATCTAGAAGCTTTCCATTGTAATGTTTGCTGCCCGTGCACGTTTGTAAACGTTGGGTGCTGTCCAACAAGCTGCAAGTCAGAAGAATTGCCGACTGCCAACATGTCGACCTCACTCAAAAGGCAGTGCTTTCCATACGCTCACCCATCTGAGCTTTGTCAAAAGGTTTGAGTCTGGCTTAGAGCCGTTAGTGGAGAAGCAGTAGTTAGCTATTTATATACAAAGAAATACTCAAATTACAGAGGTAGTTTCAAATTTTGCTGAGAATTCCCTTTAGTCAGATGAAGAAAACCTTGAAAATCTACCTGCATCGAAACATCTAAAGTGATTTGAACATGCAGCATTTAGTTCACTAGAAGATATCCTCAGACAGGTTACATCACACACCCTTGAAGGTGCAAGACTCCCTCTGTTGGCTCTGCACTCCACAGCGGTCTTGTGACTTAAAACCTTGCTTAAGGATATGCGTATGGATTTTCATTCTACTTGAAGTGCCTTGTAAGCAACACGCCATGAGTGTTTCCTCCGATTCATGATTATGCAGGAGCTAGTCGTTACCCCAAGTCTAGGCAGGACCTATCAACCATGAAATCCCCGCAGAAGAGCTGTTGCCAGCTCAGGCTGAGGAAGGCAGGGGCAGCTCTGGAGCGTCAGCGCGCACCAGGACCCTACCTTGGATTGCAATTGCTCTCTTCTGAGACTGGCTGCAGAGAGGGAAGTGTGGCAGCCTCTGCTCACAGTGACTTTGAAGCCTTTTCAAGTTCGAGCAAGAACAAATGCAACTCCATCACCTGTGTCAGCGATGCCACACTTCACACCTATTTACAAGCTTCATTCTTTCTCCTGTTGCTTTGTCTGTTCTTTAGGCTGGCAGAACAAAAGCAGGATTTGTGGCTTCATTCTTTCTCCTATTGCTTTGTCTGTTCTTCTTTAGGCTGGCAGAACAAAAGCAGGATTTGTGCTGTGGATTCTCCCCGTACTTCTAAAATCCTGGATCATTTGTCCTAAAGGGCCTGCATTTTCAGAGAAAGGTTAAAGAGCAACACATCCCTGCGAGCCCCAAATGCCATGTGTAGAATAGGGAACCAGCAGCACGTCTGCATTCCCAGATCCAGGAGTGGATGGTGACTACATCATGACTCTGTATCTAAGTTCCAGGCATGCATCTCTTGCCTGCCAATTGTCACAGAATCACAGCATGGCAAGGGTTGGAAGGGCCTCGGGAGATCATCTAGTCCAACCCTCCTGCTAAAGCAGGTTCACCTACAGCGAGTCGCACAGGACTTCGTCCAGGTGGGCTTTGAATATCTCCAGAGAAGGAGACTCCACAACCCCCCTGGGCAGCCTGTTCCAGTGCTCTGTCACCCTCAAAGTAAAAAAGTTCTTCCGCATACGCAACTGAAACCTCTTGTGCCCACTGCCCCTTGTCCTGTCGCTGGGCACCACTGAGAAGAGTCTGGCTCCGTCCTCGTGACATGTCATGAAATTAAACTTGTGCTCCGGAGCTGCAGGGCAACTGAAACCTCTTGTGCTTCAGTTTGTGCCCACTGCCCCTTGTCCTGTCGCTGGGCACCACTGAGAAGAGTCTGGCTCCGTCCTCGTGACATGTCACGAAATTAAACTTGTGCTCCGGAGCTGCAGGAGGCCCATGTGTGTCAAATGAGAATGTCACCGTATATCCCAACAGGCATTAACAGATGCAGTAAACAGAATGGCCACGCAGCTCCCTCCTTTTAAAAAAGTTCCCTTTATTCTTCACAATTTACTAATCCTTGTAATTAAAACACAGGTACATTCCCCACACAGGTGCATTTATGTATTCTTACTCTTATAGTTTTCAGAATACTAAACAAAAGCTTTCCATATATTAAATAGTAAAAAATTAATAGCATTTTTCCTCTGTTTTGAGGATGGTCCTTATTCCTTGATGCTGAAGGATATTGCCATGTTCAAAACACCAGTTATTCAACCAACAATTAGAGAATCTCAAATTTTGCCATCCTTAGGCAGCAAGCGGTATTTTCCGTTGTGGCATTCCCATTGATTCCATGAGACCCAGTAGTAAATCTGAGTGACAACAGCACAGCTAAGGGAAGCTATTTTCTGGATACGGTATTTAGTTGAAAGCCTAAGTGAAATCCCAGCTGCATCAATTCACACATGAATTTTCCCATCTAATTCAGTGGGACCAGGTGCAGCATGAACAATATTAAGCATCTTTTATGTTTATGAAATAATTCATAATCAACATCGCAGTTGTGCTCTAAGGCATCTTTACCTGAAAGCTGAGATTTAGAAACCATTACTGTTGTCAGTCAAAATATTTTAAGTCATTCTGGTCTTCCCTTCATTAGACTTTGATAAACTTGAAATATTTTGGACCAAACCAATAGTGAAATAATTCTACTG